CCGTGTTTTCTGATACTGAGGCTAAGTTTCACTCTGTAAAGCTATAACTAATCGATACTAACTTGAATTTAATGTCATCTATGTACAAAATTTATACCTATATACTTTTAAAGCTTGGCTGAGATGCTCTTCATAACCACAGGCTTTCTGCATACATACAAGTGTCATCCATATCTGTATAAACACTGCATCGTGTGGAAATAACGTTGACTTCCTATGATAAAGCTCTACACAGAGCGAGACGCTGGAAGAGGTTGATAAGTGATAATCCCCCAGCTAAGGGACGGATCACTTCTATTACCTAGCCACTTCTTCCACCGTCTCCTGTATTTATTTTCGCCACTGACTGGCAAAACGTCTCCACAAATACAGTTACCAAGATACTGTATATGTCTCGCTAAAACACTTAGCAGCGAGACACATATGTTAATCTCATAGAATTTTATATATAACACTAAACTTTTTTTCCAATAATATTTTCAGACTGATCAGGCGAAGTAACGTCAACACATCTTAACACAAGGTCTCCCACAAGTCTGCTACCATTATGGAAGAGGAGAAACACATATTAATGAAGACTTACTTACAGAACATATTAATGACGACTTATTTACAGAACGTGTTTACTGTCCTCGATTATTAGTGACAGTGCTAGGCTACAGGTTTGTTCCCTTCCCCTCCCCCTCTGCCTCCCTCTCCCTCTCCTTGTTATCTTCCCTTCCGTGTCGTTCTCGTAACTCTTCTCACCCTTCAATAACACTTTTTTTCCAACCATAATTAGTTTTTCGCAACTACTAGGGACTCTGCAGCGGGCACACCCAACATGGCCACCAATGTCCACACACCAGCGTGGCCACAACTGTCAGTTCCTAGCCACGGTGACCTGATCATATTTACATACAAGGAGGTACCACCTCTACAAATGGACTGGGGACCCTCATCCTCAGAGAAGACAATAAACGTACCTCAGGGAAAACTCAAGGTTCTCCCCGGTGCTGTTTGAATATTTTCTTCTACCCCCACCCCTTATTTTATATCAAATTATAATATATTATATATATATATATATATATATATATATATATATATATATAAATATATAATATATATATATATATGTTTGAAGACAATGAGATAGTATTTCGTAGGGTATGTACACAATTAGGTCAGTAATCGACTACAAGATCAAACTATTTTTAAGGATTCAGTTATCTTTAATGTCAGTGCTGAGGTGACTGTCTACCTTAAGAAGCCTGAGGCGGTCGACTGACCTTAATTAAATCCACTCAGGTGGGAGATCCTGATCGAATCTAAAGCGGAAACTGTGCTGATGGACCTGACTGTTTACACTCAGAGCTGATAATAAACCGACAAGTTGGTTAAGAAAAACACACAAGCAAACACTAGGTCCTGGGACCTTGATCACCTTGATTAAGGTTTCAGGATCGAAACGTTTTCTAATAAACGTGTACTAGAGCTACAAAAAAAGCCCGATATACAGGGCAAACAGGACATGACTACTCTACTCTAGGCTATGAACTAATGTTAGTTTAACATGAAACTATGTGCGGGGTATCAAGACGTTTAATGAGGGTATGTTTTGCCCACCAGGACCTTCTTCAGTCCAGTGTCTGGAAGAAACATATGTATTCGGGTATTAAGACTTACTGAGGATACGTTACGCTCACCATGGAGTTTTTCAGTGTAAGACACTATGCGGGTTATAAGACATTTACTGAGGACACATTTCGCCCAACAGGGCCTTCTCCGGTCGAAAGGTGAACAAAACAGGTCTTTGTTTTATACTTGTCGGTATTATTTACCCAAGTTTAACTTCCCGCTATAAGGCCAAGAGTACTATTGAAACTCAAAATATATACCCTCTGGTGTATGTCTCCCCGATAGGTTTTGAACCCCATTAACTAAGGAGGCAGAAAATATAGGAAATTCCTAATCAGCCGGTCTGCTGTGCTTGTAGTAAACACACCAACAACCCAAGACCAGATCAACAACAACTAGGGGGCCTGGTCTGAGACCAGATCAACAACCAGGAGGGCTGGTATGAAACCAGATCAACAACCAGGAGGCCTGGTATGAGACCAGATCATCAACAACCAGGAGGCCTGGTATGAGACCAGATCAACAACCAGGAGGCCTGGTCTGAGACCAGATCAACAACCAGGAGGCCTGGTACGAGACCAAATCATCAACAACCAGCAGGCTTGACATGAGACCAGATCATCAACAACCAGGAGGCCTGGTATGAGACCAAATCATCAACCTACAGGAGGCCTGGTCTGAGGCCAGATCATCAAAAACCAGGAGGCCTGGTATGAGACCAGATCATCAACAACTAAGAGGCCTGATCTGAGACCAGATCAACAACAACCAGGAGGCCTGATCTGAGACCAGATCATCAACAACCAGGAGGCCTGGTATGAGATCAGATCATCAACAACCAGGAGGCCTGGTATGAGATCAGATCATCAACAACCAGGAGGCCTGGTATGAGATCAGATCATCAACAACCAGGAGGCCTGGTCTGAGACCAGATCAACAACCAGGAGGCCTGGTCTGAGACCAGATCATCAACAACCAGGCCTGGTATGAGACTAGATCATCAACAAACAGGAGGCCTGGTCTGAGACCAGATCATCAACAACCAGGAAGCCTGGTATGAGACCAGATCATCATCAACCAGGCCTGGTATGAGACTAGATCATCAACAACCAGGAGGCCTGGTCTGAGACCAGATCATCAACAACCAGGAAGCCTGGTATGAGACCAGATCATCAATACCCAGGAGGCCTGGTATGAGACCAGATCATCAACCAGGAGGCCTGGTATGAGACCAGATCATCAACAACCAGGAGGCCTGGTCTGAGACCAGATCATCAACAACCAGGAGGCCTGGTCTGAGACCAGATCATCAACAACCAGGCCTGGTATGAGACTAGATCATCAACAAACAGGAGGCCTGGTCTGAGACCAGATCATCAACAACCAGGAAGCCTGGTATGAGACCAGATCATCAATACTAAGGAGGCCTGGTATGAGACCAGATCATCAACCAAGAGGCCTGGTATGAGACCAGATCAACCAAGAGGGCTGGTATGAGACCAGATCATCAACCAAGAGGCCTGGTATGAGACCAGATCATCAACCAAGAGGCCTGGTATGAGACCAGATCATCAACTAAGAGGCCTGGTATGAGACCAGATCATCAACAACTAGGAGGCCTGATCTGAGACCAGATCAACAACAACCAGGAGGCCTGATCTGAGACCAAATCATCAACAACCAGGAGGCCTGGTATGAGATCAGATCATCAATAACCAGGAGGGCTGGTATGAGACCAGATCATCAACAACCAGGCCTGGTATGAGACTAGATCATCAACAACCAGGAGGCCTGGTCTGAGACCAGATCATCAACAACCAGGAAGCCTGGTATGAGACCAGATCATCAATACCCAGGAGGCCTGGTATGAGACCAGATCATCAACCAGGAGGCCTGGTATGAGACCAGATCATCAACAACCAGGAGGCCTGGTCTGAGACCAGATCATCAACAACCAGGCCTGGTATGAGACTAGATCATCAACAAACAGGAGGCCTGGTCTGAGACCAGATCATCAACAACCAGGAAGCCTGGTATGAGACCAGATCATCAATACCCAGGAGGCTTGGTATGAGACCAGATCATCAATACCCAGGAGGCTTGGTATGAGACCAGATCATCAACCAAGAGGCCTGGTATGAGACCAGATCATCAACCAAGAGGACTGGTATGAGACCAGATCATCAACCAAGAGGCCTGGTATGAGACCAGATCATAACCAAGAGGCCCTGGTATGAGACCAGATCATCAACCAAGAGGCCTGGTATGAAACCAGATCATCAACCAAGAGGCCTGGTATGAGACCAGATCATCAACCAAGAGGCCTGGTATGAGACCAGATCATCAACCAAGAGGACTGGTATGAGACCAGATCATCAACCAAGAGGCCTGGTATGAGACCAGATCATCAACCAAGAGGCCTGGTATGAGACCAGATCATCAACCAAGAGGCCTGGTATGAGACCAGATCATCAACCAAGAGGCCTGGTCTGAGACCAGATCAACATGTATACAGCAGGTCAACGGTTGCTGGGAGATGAACTGTTATTAGCAGCAGTGTACACTGCAACACAATACCGAATGCCAGACACCTGATTATAAAAAGGTGAGTAGAGCACGCCAAGGTTCTTTCCTTGTTCTTTATATTAATATAATATAATTATATAATTATATATATATATATATATATATATATATAATATATATATATATATATATATATATATATATATATATATATATATACATAATCAGTATGGGATGTAACATATCCATGATAGGGAGTAACGTACCTATGATAGGGAGTAACTTACCCATGATAGGGAGTAACTTACCCATGAGAGGGAGTAACTTACCCATGAGAGGGAGTAACTTACCCATGAGAGGGAGTAACTTACCCATGAGAGGGAGTAACTTACCCATGAGAGGGAGTAACTTACCCATGAGAGGGAGTAACTTACCCATGAGAGGGAGTAACTTACCCATGAGAGGGAGTAACTTACCCATGAGATGAATTAACTTACCCATGATAGGGGGTAGCTTACCCACGAAAGGGAGTAATTTACCCATGAGATTGAGTAACTTACCCATTCTAGGGAGTAACTTATCCATGAGAGGGAGTAACTTACCCATGAGAGAGAGTAACTTACCCATGCTAGGGAGCAACTTATCCATGAGAGGGAGTAACTTACCCATGAGAGAGAGTAACTTACCCATGCTAGGGAGCAACTTATCCATGAGAGGGAGTAACTTACCCATGATAGAGAGTAACTTACCCATGCTAGGGAGCAATTTATCCATGAGAGGGAGTAACTTACCCATGAGAGAGAGTAACTTACCCATGCTAGGGAGCAACTTATCCATGAGAGGGAGTAACTTACCCATTGGAGACGGGAGTCTGGATGAAGGTGCGAGGGTGGGGTGTAGGCTGCTCCGGGTCATCATGCTGCTGAAGAACATTACCAGGCAGAGTTGTCGAGTCCCGCCTCATGTCTGCGCCTATCTGCTGACTGCCTCCTTTATCTGCTGTCTCTTCTACTTGATCCTTCAGCAGTCTGCTGTCATGGGTTACTCCTCGACCTTGAGTGACACTCTACAACGTAGAACTCCACAGTCTTTTCAACACTTATAATCACAAATCTTTAGGCCTTAAAGAACAATCACTCGGCTCTAACACAGTGGTAGCTACGGTATATGAAAACAGTTTACGTTTAAAAGTTCAAAATATCACACGTTTACTTTCAAACGTACCAAAATTTTCTAAGTTTACCTGTAAACATTCCAAAATTATACGTTTATCTTTAACGTTTTAAGAATTTCACAAGTGTACCGTTAATTATTTAATATCAAATGTTTACCTTAAAATGTTGAAAAAATATTACAAGTTTATCCTCAAACGTTGCAAAACATCACAAGTTTACCCTCAAACGTTACAAAACATCACAAGTTTGCCCTCAAAACGTTACAAAACATCACAAGTTTACCCTCAAACGTTGCAAAACATCACAAGTTTACCCTCAAACGTTACAAAACATCACAAGTTTACCCTCAAACGTTGCAAAACATCACAAGTTTACCCTCAAACGTTACAAAACATCACAAGTTTACCCTCAAACGTTACAAAACATCACAAGTTTACCCTCAAACGTTACAAAACATCACAAGTTTACCCTCAAACGTTGCAAAACATCACAAGTTTACCCTCAAACGTTACAAAACATCACAAGTTTACCCTCAAAACGTTACAAAACATCACAAGTTTACCCTCAAACGTTACAAAACATCACAAGTTTACCCTCAAACGTTGCAAAACATCACAAGTTTACCCTCAAACGTTGCAAAACATCACAAGTTTACCCTCAAACGTTGCAGGAGCTACAAATTACTTTGACATCACAAAGATAATGCACCAGAAATTACCTTCTGTAATTTATCATTCAGTTACATTAATTTTTGTCTTCGTCTTATCTTAGAAAAAAACATAACTAAATGTTTATCTTGTAACTTTGCGAAAAAAAAAAATCTTGATTTGCAAATACGAATTAAAATTTTTTCTTCATTAAAAAATAGAAGAAAATCTTTTTACTTAAGGAAAAAAATTTGCTTTGTAAACAAGAAAAAATATTTGCCTTTGTAAATAAACAAGAAAAACATTTTACTTCGTTTTTCTCTTGTTTATTCACAAATGAAATGTTATCTTGTTTATTTACATTTTATTTGTAAATAAATAAGAAAAACAAGACTGTAAATAAACAAGAGAAAAACATTTTACTTTGTACATAAGCAAGATAAAAGCACCTTGCTTTTTAAATAAACAAGAGAATAACCCTTAGTAGATCTGATTTTTTAATCTTCATTTAACGATATATAACCACTAGTTAAAACACTGTATAACCACTAGTTAAAACACTGTATAACCACTAGTTAAAACACTGTGTAGCCACTATCTAAAACACTGTATAACCACTAGTTAAAACACTATATATAACCACTAGTTAAAACACTATATATAACCACTAGTTAAAAAACTATATATAACCACTAGTTAAAACACTATATAGCCACTAATTAAAACACTATATATAACCACTAATTAAAGCCTTATATAACCACTAGTTAAAACACTATATATAACCAATAGTTAAAACATTATATAAAACCACTAGTTAAAACACTGATTAACCACTAGTTAAAACACTATATAACCACTAGTTGGAAACACCTTAAATATGAACGAGGTTCAGCAACTTTCTATTATGATCTCGTATAACCAAGCTGATATTTGTAACATGATTTCAGATGATCACTTCTAAGTTGTCAGGTGAACACCTGTTCGGATATTTTAATGTATCTTATCTTACTGAGAGGTCCTGAAATGTGGACCTGTTGATTAATGGAAAAAAAACTGCCTTTGGATACCATCATAATAATACGGTAGAGACTTTTAAAGTCTTCTGGCTACAATTTATAACACACTACCACATGTGATGAATGGTTTGAAAAACCGACAAGTTGAAGATTGAGACACTTATGCAGCATATGGGAATCTTTATTCAGGAAACGTTTCGCCACACAGTGGCTTCATCAGTCTAATACAAAGAGGAAGGCGTAAGGAGAGGAGGAGTATGAGGTAATCAGTCCCTCAGCCTGGAGTCGATGTGTTCAGTCCATCAATCTACAAGATTGATGGACTGAACACATCGACTCCAGGCTGAGGGACTGATTACCTCATACTCCTCCTCTCCTTACGCCTTCCTCTTTGTATTGGACTGATGAAGCCACTGTGTGGCGAAACGTTTCCTGAATAAAGATTCCCATATGCTGCATAAGTGTCTCAATCTTCACACTACCACATGGCTACAGCTCACTCCAACGCCACTGCGACTCACTCCACGCATCTACTACACCCACACCTCTACGACTCGCTCCCACACCTCTAAAACTTATTCCCACATCCCTAAAACTCACTCCCACATCTATATAACTCATTCCTATGTCTCGACAACTCCAACACCCAAGAGCTCATTCCTAAATCCCTAAAACTCTCCCCAACTCACCTAAAACCTAATTTCCACATCCCTATAACTTATTTCAACAGGGCCACAACTTATTTCAACACCTCTTCAACTTATTTTAACACTACAGCTTATTTCAGCACCACCACAACTCATTTCAATACAAGTCACTCGCAACACAACCGGACAGAAGCAATGGTTACTGTTATTTTAAATTTGGGAGCCTTTAGCCTTCTGGTTACGTTGAGATGAGTGCGCATCAAGCCTCATGTTGGACATAAATCCGTTCTTGTTACTTTTGACCAATTTCGTTATATAAACAATTAACCGCCTTTCAACAGCCTGGCTGATCAGACCCTGATCCACTACGAGGCCTGGTCTCAGACCGGGCCGCTGATCATATACTGGCTTGCAATAGTTCGTCAGTGCACTACCTTCAGCTTCCCTCTGTCCCGCATACTCCTCGTTTACCTTCAAGACTACGAGGCTGCCCACATCCAGAGGTACGAGAACTTCTAAAATAGGATGTTAAGCCTCCAAAATCGTTATTAAATTAGAGAAAAAATGAACCATAACCTACCCTTACATCCCACACCTTCAGTACCAATAACTTCACGAACATGGTGACTTCTAACCAGAAAACGGATGCATATATAGCAGTTTTAACTAGCACGATGGAAAACTTAGACGTTTCAGCCAGTTTTTAGACGCTCTTCGGAATTTCTTCTAATCATGGGGCTGAAGGAGGCTTGAGCAAAAACAGTTCGTCATGCTTAGATGTGCATATCACTTCAGGATTATGTTCATACAGGTGCTCGGTTTACAGTGGCACCACTGCTTATCCTGATACTGTGTTTCACTGCGGCTGTGAATGTGAAACTTGTGAAAAAAAACTGATTTAGAACCGATAGATACGTTAAAAAAAGCGAGTGTAAGTAAAAACAAATCAGAAAAAGTCCCTCTGCTGATGGTAGCCCTTTGCTTGTAGTAAGTAGCCTTTATACTTACGGTAGTACCCTCTGTTTATAGACGCTCAACCGTTTCTGTCCATACCACAAAAACGTAAGATCGTAATCATCCTGTACTTATCACATCAGAGTACTTTATTGACGGTGGTGGCGACAAGGGAGGGACATGAGGGGGAGGAGGCTTCAGCTCCCAAAAATTCCCTTAGCTCTTTAAAGCTACGTAAATGAAAAACGGTAAATATAATAACGATGCTTCAAAACAGGTCTCCTAGCCCCTCATTAAACCAGAGACCCCGCTAAGTCCCTTCCCCCTCCAATATAGAAATCGTGGTTCTTGAAAACATATATTCATAAAGAAAATGACGGTACACTAGTGTACCGTCCTTTTCTTTATTTTTCGGACTTGGCTCAGTCCGAAAATTAAGGACATGCCTATTGAATTCCAGATACAGGGGTATAAATTGTTCCACACTGATAGTCTATAGGAAAGGAGGTGAAGTTGATATGTATGTTTGGGGAAAATCTGAGACCGAAACGTGGTTATAAGTTTCTTTTTCCTATGTGCGGGTTATTTGTGTTGCATCAGAAGCTTTATGAAGATGGGTCAATCAGGGAATTTCTTAGATTGCAGTTTCTCGAAGGACACGAAAACCAATGTTAGATGTGATGTACAAACCTCCAAATCTAGAGTGACCATCGTAAACTTCTTTGGGACAAAATCGCTAAGACATCTAGAAAGGAAAATCGATGGGAGGACTTTGACAAGAAATACAGAGTTTAGCGACTTTCTTGATATGGCCTAGGACCGATTTATAAAACAATATGTTAGAAGCAACTAGAGTAATAACATCCTGGACTTGGTTCTGGCAAAACACTGATTCTCTGATAGACAATCTTAAGAATTTATGAAGAATTTGGAGAAAGTGATTACCCTAGTAGTGTAGAGGGTTAACCTGACTGGAGACTATCGTGAGGGAGGCAGGTGGTGATCCTGATGACGGCCAATATATATCATTTTCTAAAACATTACTCAAGGTGACTGAGCTGCATATATTTCTAATAGAAATTTTGAGCATACATGGCCACAAATAAACAATGGACAGAAGTTAAAAAAAATATATAAGAAAAGTTAAAAGATAATATGAAATTTCAGAACTAAAGATCAATCTAGATTTTTTTCAGAAATAAGATTAGGGAAAGGATAGGCCCATTAAAATGTGACTCAGGACAGCTTACTGTTAGTGGCAAAGAAATGTGCAAGTTTATTCAGGTATACACAAATACAGTTACATAGATTATCATACATAGCAACATATGTGTAGAGAACCTGGGATAACCCAAAAAAGTCAGAGTGACTTATTTCCACGGGGTCCTTTATTTCCATTAGGGTCCATTTTCAACACTATTTTGGTTGTTTTTACACAAGAAGATATATATGAAATACCAGAAATCAATAATTATACTGGGCAAGACGAAA